TGTGTGTGAGTCTGGCCGAGTCTGTGATGACTCCGGGCGAGCCAGGTTGAGTCAGTGTGAGTACGGGCGAGTCTGTGTGTGTGTGTGTGTGTGTGTGTGTGTGTGTGTGTCTACGATTTCGAGGTTGGGAGGTTGGGGACGAATGTGAAGACGTTGTTGCCGTGAACCGGCGTAAGTGGCACCCACTTCCCAACCTTCTCGAAGTGAGGGTATTTTTTTTTTTTTTTTTGCAGAATCCTGTTGATATTGTGTGTGAGAGAGAGAGTCCCTTTGAGGGTGTTCTTGAGAGGCCGAAACGATCGGCTTTGCCATTCCGTGCCTTCCCAAGGACCACCACCACCACCACCACCACCACCGTCTTTTGACTTACCGCGACTGTTCTGGTGCCACTGACAGCCGGACACATTAAAACACAGAAAAATGACACCGATGACGGCGGATCAAGTGGAGAGAGCGGAGAGAGAGGTAATGAGATACGCAACAGAGGGAATCCACTACTACAATGACAAGGAGCTGGATTTGTTACGGCAAAGAGCGCCGGCGTACTTTGACACGAGGGTTGACGTTCAGCAGTCAGTGGCGGCAAACGGAGACAGGTCAATGAGAGCACAACAGTTGCTGTTGCGCTTATCTCAAAATGCCGACGTGCATGACGACCACATCATGACGGAGTGCTCTGCGAACACTCTTCACGGAGTTGTGGACTGGATGTGCAACGACCAAGACATCGACATGACGAAAAGAGAGGGAGGAGGTTCGTACGACACGGCGGCATTCAAGAAGTTTGTGAGATTCCAGGCGAGGAAAAATCAAATGTTGAAGACAGGGGGTGGTGAAGAATTGAAGCCGAACGCTGCGGAGATATTGGCGCTGAGCAGGATGAACGAGGAGGCACAAAGAGATCCTGTCGACTACCATGAACTGACGACAATGGTGGTGGACGGTGTCGAGTATGTGCTACTTGACCAGATTGTGGACTTCATGAAGAGTGGAGGCGAGGACAAGAACCTCATTCATGAGGCATTGCATGAGGTGACGGAGGACGCAATAGCAGCAACTGAGGTTGTCGATGTCGAGTGCGTAAAGGATCGCACACTCGACCTTGTATCGGGAGATCCTGTGCCCCAAGGGAACATATTCGAGGCTGTAGAGAAGCTCACCGCGGCATTGACGGACGTGGACAAGAGGAGGAAGAGAAAGCAAGGATGGGAAATTGTTGCCCGAGAACACAATAACGCAAGGATACACACAAAAGACATAACAGTGCAGGACGTAGGTGGCGCAGTATCTCTCCCGGATGTGACGACCGTGTTGAAGAATCCTGCTGCGGATGCCCGGACTGTCCATGGCGGATTCAGAGAGTGGAGATTGGCACCCATACGTCCTTCAGGTGACTTCAACGAAGGGGGTGAACAACCGTCTCGGTAGGGAGATGATGCGGTGGTTCGTTCTGATGACAAGGGCGATGCGCAGACACGACCGCAGCAAGAGAACCCGACTTTATGGGACTTGGAGGTGAGTGGCAGTGATATCGGCAGCTACGAGGAGAGCGAGGAATACGACCCTTACTGGGACGTAAAGCGAGGTGGTGGTCAAGCCACGAAAGACTGGTGTCATGCGATTTTGAGGTTGACGCGTTATTTCTTGAAACCGCACCCATTGATACGTGTTGTGGACAAGGTGGCAACACCGGACGGGCCTCTACACTTCGCAGCTATCAAGACGATTATGTCGTGCATTGAAACCGGCAAACGTTGGACTCGCATTGGAAAATCATGGTTTGTTCTCATACAGAAGGAGACCATTCTGACGACATCGATGTCATGGGGTGTGAACCTGAGTTGCGTCATACACGGAGCAGCTGCCATAGCATGCGGTGCCACCGTGCACCCCACAATGTCAACAGCGGCTGCAATTATACATGCACAACCAACACTCCTTCTGCGTGCCACGAAAAACGACAATATCGATGCTGCTATGGATATGGGCCGAACATCAGAGGAACAATTGAAATGAAGAAAATTATAGGGCTTTCTCTCTCTCTCACACACACACACACACACACACACACACAGACACACAAATTAGATATTCTTATTACCATATCACATGTCCATTGCATGTGACGATGTGGTTGGGAAGTCGGGGCCGTATATGAAGACGTTGTTGCTGTCTCGCGACATAAGTGGCACCCACTTCCCAACCGTGTTGAAAACCGAGATTTTCCTTACGCTGCAATGTTAATATTGCATGGTGTTTATTCATACACACCTTTCAGATTCATTCCTGAAGATGTGGTTGGGAACCGAAGACGCATTATGGCCACGTTGATGTCGTGTCACGCCGTAAGTGATTTGGTTCAGAACTGATCTCTCTCTCTCTCTCTCTCACACACACACACACACACACACACACACACACACAGATTACATATTCTTATAACCATATCACATGTCGATTGCTTATGACGATGTGGTTGGGAAGGTGGGGCCGTATTTGAAGACGTCGTTGTCGTCTTACGRCARAAGTGGCACCCACTACCCAACCGTGTTGAAAAGCGGGATTTTCCTTTCGCAGCTTTGTTAATATCGCATGATGTTTATGCATACCTGCCTGTGCGAGTCTGTGTGATACTGTAGGGATATTGTGTGATTCTCTCTCTCTCTCTCTCTCTCTCTCTCTCTCTTTCTCTCTCTCTCTCGTGAGTGTTGGTGCGGTTAAACGACTGCGATGATGTGTCCACAATGACCACAACTCAAAACTCTGCCGCAGGGTGTTGTGGCTCATTGGCAGGTGGATAAAATATAAATGGAAATGAACATCACGAGAGGCAGTGGTATGTCTGGAAAAGCGGGATTCCACTTTTCGGTGCTCAGTTAGGAATGGAACACTGAACATGTCTTTTTATTGTTGTGTTTGTGGTAGCGAGGCAGGATAAAAAAACGAACTTCGTGGAAGGGTCAAGTAGTAAGTCAATTCTGCGTGCAAAGCGTTTGGCATTGTAGGTGTGAGGGCATTTTACATCCTGTATAGTCGACAGAGCAGATGACGGACGACCACATGGTGTGTGAATGCGGTCGACCTTTCAGTTCATTAAGGACATTGAACTCTCATCGCGCGAGGGCATGTCCGGTGCCAACGAGTTGTAGATCAAACGATGACGACGGACAGAGTCGGGACAACAGATCCGAGGGGGAGGACGGCGCGCCGGATGGCGATGGTCTGGGAGAGAAAATCGTCGACCTCGCTGTGGAAGCCGAAATGGAATGTGGTTCCGAGGAAGATCCCCCCGACGTGCGGACGTTTGACACATCCTGCAGACTGGCTGCGATCATGTTGTCCTCTAGGGGTGACTTAGGGATGTCACTTAACGACATCGACGCTCTTCTCTCAGTACTGAGAGATCCAAGCTTCTCGCCGCAGGAAATTGTATACCACAACAACCGTGAGTTTTTACGTTGGACGAGCAGGCAGGCAGAGACGAACGGGTGACGGGAGATATATCTAAAAAGTGATGACTGGCTATCGGATGCACATGCCGTGTTGTGGTACCGAGATTGGCGCACGACTTTCACGTCATTGCTCAAAGCAGCGACGAGGAACATGGAAACGGTGTCGTGTCTCTCGGCCACCCCCCCCCCCAGCCAGAACCCACAATAGACAGCGCCCGCTGTGGAGCATTGTGGCATCACGTGCAGACCGTCATCAGAGCACACGAAGGCGTAGATAAGAATGGCAGAACACGGTATGCAGTGCCAATCTGTCTGTATTCTGACAAGACACATGTAGATGGACGGCAGAAACCGACAGCATATCCATTAATGATGTCAATAGGTGACCATGCACATGACGCGACACTTCTCGCGTATCTTCCTGTCCTCCATCACCGCCTAGGAGACAAGGGATGGGGTTTGCAAAGCACCGCGTTCAGGCAACGCAAAACCGTCATATTGCACTCAGCTCTGTCTGCGGTGTTGCAGGCTGCGAAGCACGCGTCGCATGGTGGCATTGTTTATGACGATGAGCGCTGGGGAGAAGTAACAGTGCACCCTTTCCTGCTGAATTATATTCAAGATTACCCTGAGAGGTGCGCCATCGCAACGGTTCGATACGGTGTTTGCGCGACATGCACAGTGTCAAAATCACATTTTGATGTCATTGCGGACTTCAATAACCGTCGTCGATCACAAAGCAGGGAACGTGCACTTCTAACTGAATTCCACACGACAGACAACGATGATGTTCGTTGTTTGGCGAAGACACAATTGTCGAACTTGAACATGCACACACATGTGAAAGAGAACGGCCTGTGGGAGTTTTATAGAGGTCCTGAAGACGATGATCTGATGTTTGACTACCACATGGCTCTACAACCGGACCGCATGCACACCATCGAGCACGATATTTTTTTGCACATGTTAGACGCTTTCAAAGCAGCTGCCTTTGACAAGTTAAGCCACGTCCCACAAAGCCATGTGTTGAAGGAGTTGGATGCGAGGTTGCAGACGTTGAGCGAGAGAAGCAGTACTACATATCCGGAACTTGTGCCACCTGTTGCAACAGGTTGCGACTACTTTTCACGAGAGGGCCGTTTCGAAGCTAAGCAGAACCGGTCGGTCGTATTCATAGTGTCCAACATAGTGTTCAGTAGGGAAATGAATAACATCTTGTTTCAAGAAACTAATGGAACTGTACATCTCAATGTTCCGGAGCACAAAGCATTCAAGTCATTCGCTTGACGCATGTGACAATCAGATGACATATTTCATAACAACCCTCAAACAGGTCCTGGGTCGTTATCAAACCTCCAACTGGAAAGTGCCGAAGTTACATGACCTTCTGCATTTGAGGGCTTGCATCGAACGTTCAGGTCTCCCTGACAGCTTCGCGACCGATGTCTGGGAGCACCACCACCAGAAGTTTTGCAAACAACCTTTCTTGTCGTCGAACAAGCGCAAAGCCTTGTTTCAAATGGTAAATCACGTGCAAAGGACAGTCGCATTCGACGACGACATTGACCGTGCACGGAAACACAGGAAGAGGACAACTGAAAATTGGTCCTTGGTCATGGAGTGCTCGGCACGTGGAATGAACACACTTGCCGCACGCGACACGACAAAGATGCAACTCCGATATTTCCCCTGAGAAAATGCAGGAACAAATGAGAACGAAGGTGCGACGGGAACCGCCAAAGAAATATTGGATGCCCTCCCGTGCAAGGAGTTATTTCGAGAAGCTCTTCACACGTACATGTCCAAAAACGGGTGCAATCCACCGCCAGAGGACATGTTAATACGCACTAGAACGCATCTTGCCATCGTAGCAACAGGCGATGGAACAACTAGGGGCGCACTTGTGCAAACTGCGAGGGCTTCACCCAACTTCCACGGGAAAGCGGTGCACAGTGATGTGTCTGTGAGGGCACAAATAGGAAGTATGTGGTATGCATCTGTGGCAATGTTTTTTGTCATGAACACCTGTACAGAAGGAGTGCCCACCACGCACGAGTGCGCCTTTGTAAAATGGTACAAAGAGGCAGACACTGAAAGAGCAAATGTGACAGGGTGCAAAAAATTGAAATGGGAAGTGATAAATGGTCGCCAGCTGTGCAGCGTGATCTCCGTTGACAGTATCACGAACACTGTACACATTGTTCCATGTTTCACAAAACCAATGTGGGGTTCATCAACATATGGAAGACATCGTGATGACACTTTTTACTTGAACAAATTTGTATTGTGATATGTCGCTCGCGACGCTGAACGGTGACAGCACGGTCCGGTTGGGTAGTACGTACCAATCAAAGGAACACCGCTCATGCACCACCTCTTTATGACCCCCACCACCCAACTCTCTCTCTCTCTCTCTCTCTCTCTCTCTCTCTCTCTCTCTCTCTCTCTCTCTCTCTCTCTCTCATCGCTTGACCAAGGAACGACAACCGAAACTGACACTAAAAAGCTCGTGAAAATGCTGTTGGCTTGTTCACAGGTAGAATGCCACTCATCACGAGGAACAACACTGACCTATCAACAGTGACAGGAGACGTGACCACGAGAAGAGGAAAACGATCAAGAACAATACGAATGCAAACAACAGAAGGGAACAACCCTGGTCGTGAGAGCGTGGCCGACGTCACGATGGAGAGTAATCGAGAGAAAGCAATACCGAGGAAAGAAGACCATGTTGAGTGCAACGAAGTGGAAATGCAAAAGCTGGACAAGGGAGCGACGCACACGGAGAAGAGCCCAGAAGCCACAATGACAGAAGCCGAAGAAACAACAGAGAGGACAGCGACGAATTGCAGAATAATGACAATGGAGGCTATGTTGGAGAGATGGGAGCACCTGTCATGGAAGGGCCCGTGGTACAACAGGATGTACTTGTATGCGACAAGGGGAACAATCCGGTCAGCGAATCTGGGACGTTCAGAGTCGTGTGGGAAGACGAGACAGGGAAAGAAGTGCGAGAACACATCAAGCTCGTCGGACGGGTTGGAGGTTATTGACGAGTCCAACATATATCCACTCACATGGAAAGGCAGAAGGGAGGAGATTCGACTGGGGGAGGCCGATGTGATGTGCTTGGCCGTTGGGAAGTGGCTCAATGACAATGTAATGGACATGTATTTGCAGTCAGTATACGAAGAGCAATGTCAAGGTAAGGACACCGCAGAAGTGCATGTGTGCACAACGTTTTGGAATCCGCAATTGCTCGCTAATCAGCAAGGTGACACAGCGAAAAGAGGATGGGAGTTGCGTGTGAAGAGTCGGACGACCAAAGTCCATCGACAATGTAAAGACCCCGAGGTTGCACCGGTTGTGCTTATTCCAATTAACCACAAGCATCATTGGATGCTGCTCATATTGTTGAGTGTAAGGGAGTTTTGGACCGACGACACATGCCCCAACGCCATAATCGTCGACTCGTGTCAAGGGTATGCAAGTTCGGATTGGAAGGCGTTGCGGACATTATTGTGGCATGAGTACCTCAACGACAACAGAAGGGGTCCGGATGTCACACGGCAACTGGTGGACAAGTCGTGGAACACTTGCAGAGACGTGTTCGGTCGTGGACTCATCCATGCGAGGTGTTCACAACAAAGTAACAGAGAGGATTGTAGTGTGTATTATTTTGCATGGTAGAAGAGTTGATAACTAAGCTTGCACATCCCCCAACACAGAATGGCATCTCGAAAGACGACGTACAACAGATTGTAGAGAAGATGCACATCGATGAAAGAACTATTCGAGACTTCCGCGTCAGAGCTCTCGATCGCATTGCAGAGTGCGCAGCAGCAGCAAAAGATCACAAGAGTCTTGGAGCACACCGCACGCTAGCTCGTGCGATGAGAGCGAAGATAAGAAAAGACGGTGGTGAACTGCCTTAGACAACGACGCAAGTGGCATGCCAGCGGGACGATGATGGGGGGGGGGGGGGGGGGGGGGGGGGGGGGGGGGGGGGGGGGGAGGGGGATCGTGATTTCGAAAACGGAGGAGGACTGGAGGTGTATATTAAGAGGAAGTTGGGGAACAATTTTGAATGCGCCACTTTTTTTTTCTTTTTTTCTTGCATGGACGAGATATCTTACCCTGTCAACATACAATATGAGAAACATCTCTCTCTCTCTCTCTCTCTCTCTCTCTCTCTCTATCTATCTATCTATCTATCTATCTATCTATCTATCTATCTATCTATCTATCTCTCTATCTATCTATCTCTCTCCTTCAAGAATGTTCAGGCTGAATCGCATTGTAAAGTGGTCTATACATGATGGAGCGTTTGAGTAAAAAACTCATAACTGGAATGTTGTGTGTGTCATGTAGCTTTGCAATGGCACCCCGCCGCAGGTACGAAGATCTTGCCTCATCCTTATTGCAAGTACAGGAAAGACAGCCACCAGCACGGCAGAGCAAAACACACTGCAGTCAGGAAAGAGAAGAGGAAAATCGAGAGACGTCCCTAGGGAAAATGTAAGACATCACCTTTGATGAAGTCCCGAGCGGACCGTGCTGTGGTCACGAAGCCACAGAAAGCGAAACGGTCTGAAGGTAACAAACGACAACGAGAGTCGGCCCCCACCTCGCCGGCCTCCGTGAAAAATCGCACACGACACAACCGATCCCCGCCACGGGCGCCAAGGAAAACGTCATGTGCAAAAGGGGTGGAAGATCAACCTCAGCGCAACATCGAAAATCCGAAGAGGAGGAGAATCATTGAGGGGGTGGGAGAGGAGAAGGAGGCAATTCATCTGAGGGGTTCCGATGGTGTCGAGGCAGGCGACACCGGAAAACGAGACGTGTCACGGGACGCAGTCCGTAAGACACAACAGTCCGACCCGCACGATGATACCGAGGGCAACGGTGGACGTAGCGAGGGCACATGCAACGAAGGAGAATTGTATGGAGAAGATGCGAGCAACGAAGAGGAGAACAGCGACAGTGGGTCCCGCAACAACCAGGATGGCGATGACGACGATGAAGAGGAGGAAGATCGATCCCGGAGCAGCGACACAGAAGAAAGATGTAGCGAAGACGATACACAAAACACGTCTCGAAGAACGCATGGAGGAACAAGTGACGGACGCAGCGAGGAAAACAACGTGGACAAGCAGTTAGTCCTGAAGGAGAAGGCAAACGAAGGACGTAAGTACAGAATGGTCGAGGAAAGGAAAAAAAAAAAAAAAAAACCTGAAGACAAATGACCACTCGACATGTTGTTTCGCTCAAACTGTTGTCGTTGCATGGACGTAGTGCAAAATGGTAGAGAACTGTATGCGTTGTAGGATAAGAAAATATGAGATACACTGCAAATAACTAACCACAGTTGCAGTTGTTTCTCCTATGAAGCCATTGTCTGAATGGGGTGCATAACAACTTTAAACTTGTGGGTATTCGCCCGCGTTGTTGCAGGCCGACACATATTACAAGGAGGGAGACAGCGCAAGGACGACACGAAAGTGGCCAAGCAATCGGGGGTTGTCACAAGAGAGGAAAGCGAATTATTTGGGAAAAAACAAAAAGGCAGACTGTTGAGGTCCGTCGCGAAAGCTTTTGTGCACTCAACAGCGAAGGACGCAACTTTCTACCCTTCAGAGGACGACTTCTTCAATGCGGTGCAGTTGGCTGCTACCCTTTTGGGAGAAGATGTAAGGGCAGGATGGGGTAATCATGTAGAGAAGAAGGGTTTGCGGAATGTGCTCATAGAGTGCAACCGAATGATGACAATGGGCTCATAGAATGCAACCGAATGATGACACTGGTTCTGGGCAGAGAGAGGTGTCCCCCTCGTACGCGGCGCACAGACGGATCACAATAACACCATGCGCAACGAACTGCGTTGCCAGATGAGCAAAGACAAAACGTGGAGGAGGAAGGACGACCAGCCATGGGGAGCGTCGCATTTCAAGAGGGCACTCACAAAAGTGTTTTATATAAGAAAAGACGGTGAGAAGTTGGGCGTGACGTTGCAACAACTAGCGTTTACCGAACTTGTGATCCGCACAGAAATCGAGCAGACGAAGAAGTCAAGCAAGGCGTCGGATCAGTTGCTGCAAATGGTTAGTATAAAGAATGACATAGTGAACACAGCCCGGAGCCGGGACACAGTTATGAGTTTCTGCATTTTCAAGCTTGACACCGATACCCACGTGGCACATGTGGCGACACGGTACTACAGAGCAGGGAACACAAGGAGAGACATGTGTGCGGTTGACAACAACAGCGACAACGCACATGACTTTGAATTCGAAGTGTTGATGCCACACACACAATCACGAGCTTCGTGCTGAGGACCTTGGAAACCTGTCCCGGACTGGCACTCCTGTTCTTCAGACAGATGACGCATGGGGAAAGACGCGGTGGTACTGCGTGTCTGCAACTCCTACTACAGGAAGACGTCGAGAGAGAGAGAGAG